ATCGCGAGCCGCGGCCGCGATTATCATCGCGGCCCTCCCTCCTCCCCACCTTCCCCAGACGCATGAACTTCACGTGGTTCGGCTTATTATTGTGGCATGCAATGATACGCGGCTACGGCGAACGGAAGAGCGTGTGCGCCGACGGCGCACAGGCCCAGGAGGGAAGAGAGAAGGAAGAGGAGGAGGAGGAGGGGTTGGTGCGGGCAAAAGCCCGCGCCCAACTCCGCGCCGCTGGATGCTGCATTCCCGAGTGTGCACCAATGCATGGACTGGGTTATGTAAATAGCCACGCGATCCAACGCGAACAACGCGCCGGGTTAAACGCCCGCTTCGCCGTCTCCGTAATATCGAGTAACGGTGCCTCGCGGTGCGACCGCGGAAAGTGTAACTCCTCCGCACCGTCCTCCTTCTCCCCACCCCCCCACCCCCCCGCCTCTCGTCCCCTCGTCGCGAGACCCGACGGTAATAGCGAGTGTGATGCGACATGAATGGAACGTGTTATTTTCATCGCGATGTCGATGACACGCGGAATTTCTAGGGCCGTCAGGTAACAGTGATTAAATTTACGAAGCGTCATGCATAGAGTATTACATGCAAACTTGGAGGACGTCGATGCGACATGCGAAATGGAATCTCTGTTATGAGATAAGCGAGATTTATTTATTTATTTTTTTTATTTTATTTTAAATAGAGATTTTTCAGGAGATCAGAAATGGAAGATAGCGTGCATCGGATAGCGCAATTAATCATTTCATTCAGCTCTTATAATTTTAAGGCAGGCTCTTGATGTGCCGTGTTATGCGAAAATTTGCGTTAAATTCATCTCCGGTTCCGTTATATTTCCAGCTTCTTCGTCTATCTTTACTCTCTTATTTGTGAACGCTTGTTATGTGATGTCAATATTTCGACACGTGACCGTCGCGTTCCATTAGATTCCTCTTCGCCGTTCCTAGAACGTCGCGCAAGAAGCGAGCTTCGTCGGCGACGATATAAATGAAATAACACCTCGGTCTGTCCGACAGATTAATCTCTTTCTTTCTTACGAACTTTGCGCCTCGCTCGCACGAATCCACTTCGCGTCGTAAACATCGTATATCTCCAGGGAGCTAAACGGATATCGTTTAGAAGTTCCTTCGAAACCGCGTAGCTTCGTTCTTTCTCGAAGCGAAGCTATATAAAAATAGCGGCATTAAAACGCGAGCAAAAGGAAACTAATTGTGCTAGTTTATCGTCAGGATTGTCATGTTGCATTTAGTTTGCTCGACATATTTTACTAGCTTTTATTTTAGTAACAGAACAAAGAAATATTTATATCCGTAAATTACCTTTCTATGTGCTAGAATTTTAAAGAAAAAAATAGCATTATACGTACAATATTTTATTTATAAATTTATTTTATTTTATTTATGAATATATTTTATTTATTAAAATATCTTATTTATTTTGGCACTTTATCACGCTAATTGAATCATAAACATTTTAACTTTTTGCGAAATATTACACTTTTAATTTTTAGGTGAAAATGAATGATTATTTTATACATTCAAAAACGAAAATAAATAAATTATTTTAATAAATAAAATATGTTTATAAAGAAAATAAAATAAAATTTATAAATAAAATATTTTGTATGTAATGCTACTTTTCGTTAGATTTTATAAAATTCCAGCACAAATTCATTTTCCTAAAAATTAGAGTAATATTTCGCAAAAAGTTGAAATATGAATATGTCAAGTTGATTTACTTTTCACAACTTACATTATATCAATATTATAATAACTAGAGTGTTCGTCGAATGGAGAGCGACGTGTACTTTTTACACTTTACGAAAATAAAATAGAGAAAGTCAAATGCTAAGCTCGATTTAACGATATTACACAACGTTGCAAAGATGGATGGCATAATGCGGAAATACGGAAGAGCAAGAGGCTATAAAAAGAAGTGTTCTCTTTTATAATCGCGGCGACGGACGTAGCTGAACCATGGCGGGATGAATATTGAAAAAAAAAAAGGATTGATCAAAGGAATCGCATGAAGGTTAATGGTTGCCTTGAAATTGTCAACGAGGCGAAAGAACCGCGTGCAATTTGCCTTTTATTAGCGGCCATGTGCAAATGCGTCGGGGCAGAGAACAACGTTTCGGATTGAGGAACGAGAAGTCGCGCGATTAATTCTCACGCGAGCAAACGGGATTCGTTTCGTTATTGCCGGCAGCGCCGATTTCCTTGGCTAATTAATCAGCCACGCTGATTGCTGTCTCGACCCCCGCAAAAATCTCTCTTCCTTCACTCATCGCTCGCAACGGACGAGCTGAGGAAACAACATAATTTGCGTCTCGGGCGCCGATAAGGGGAATCGCACGGAGGAGAAAGCGATCGCGGTGAGTTTTGAGGATTTCGAGGCAAAAGTGAGAATTCGAAGAAAAGAAACGCTCGTCGACGGAGACGGAGACGGAGTTTCTACCAAAGAGTTGCGTTGTTATCCTTTGTTACGAACCGGTTGCCGCGACGCGCGATTTCGCAATCGACAGGAAGGGCCCTTCCGGCGGCCCTTACGAACCTTCCTCGGCCGATCATATCTTATCCACGTGACTCGTAAAACGTGCGAAACCATTGCACTGGCTCGGGGATCGGGAAAGAGGGAATCACGGGTGCGTGTCGCGCAACGCGATGTATGCATTACGCAGGTGTGCAAATGGAGGCGGCAAGCGGAGTGTCCTTAAACGCACTTCTCGCGGCTAGGCAAATAACTCGTTCTTAAACAGGCGCGACCGCTTAATTGCGTTGCCCGCGGTGATAAAAATTTCGAGGATGCGTGATACACGGGTGAGTCTGTTTGAGATAAGTCTTCGACTTCGTTCTGTTTGAGATAAATAATCGCGCTACTTCGAAGCCGCAATCGCGGTTTTATACTCTCGCGACGAATCCTCACGCTAATATCCTCCGAGATACCGACTCTCTATCTTGCTCTCTGATGCGGCGTATCGCGTGATAGGATCACGGTTATCTTACGCAAAGAAAAGAAACTTGCTGCGAACGAAGGCGTCGTCGTTTGACTTGGACGACTCGTTTCGTTTCGCATGCGGCAAGTGTTGGCACAGAGAGAAAGAGAGGAGCAGGGGGGGATGATAATTTTTCTTGTACCGAGCGCGGTGTCACGGTGCGGGATCGAAAAAGCAGGATGGTGACGTCACGCGTGAACCCGCTCCGGTCACTGGCGTGGTCGGACGAACGTCACGTGCACAAAACACACGCGTGCATTCGGATAGGTCCCACAAAGGCTTTTTTACACGCGGGGTCCCTCCGACTGATAATAATTACGGGAGGGCCTGAAGCGGACTTCCGCTCCGACATATAGTCGATCTGTGTGTGTGTGTGGCGAACGGCCGTTCGGGAGCGCGAGCGAAACCACCGACGGATTATTTCAGGAACGGCGCGGCTTCGACGCTTTCCGCGACAGTTATAGCGCGCGAACTTTTGCGAAAATTGTGCGGCTAAATCAACACGCGTGCTTAACCCACAATTTCTGATATTGGGATGGCTCGGTGCCAAGCTAACAATTCTCTTGTTCAAACGAGACAATAGGTCCCGTGTGAATTTTTCTCATCACGCCTGGCATGTGATCGATCGATCGCCCGAGATATCTGCCTTTCCTTGCTATTATTTGCTGCTCATGCAGCTCATGAGTAATTATAAATATTTAAGAAACAGATGCTTTACAAATTGGAGCATTTTAATCTAGATTTTAAGCGATTACTCGCTCGTATTATCAGCTATTGAAAATGAATATGTCACAAAACAATGGTTTTGTTGAAATATTTAAAAATCTGGGCGGATACAGATACGAAAACATTTCATGATTATTATATTGTAATAATATTTTATATTCTAGCAACCAATTCGAACGTCTTGTATAAATATTTTGTTTCAACAGGATTGAGATTTTTTTGATTTGTATCTAGCTAAATTTTTAAATCATTTTTAAAATTATTTTCTTTGTATATTAATTATAATATAATTGTACATTTATTTATATTTCGTTAGTCGGAGACTTCGTGCTACATGAGATAGTAGTTCCTGAACAGTTAGGGTTCACAGTAAGCCCGGAATAGACGGCTCGCTCACTGTGTGAACATTCGGTGACCGAGTGGAACTTGGATCGCAATTATTTCAACATTTCTAACGAGATCCGTCTGCTTCATGGCATGGTGACGCGCAGGTAGCGGTAGGAAATAGGCAGGAAAACGTACATTATGGGATTCCATGTAATTTCATTTGTTTCGAACGATTAGTCACCATCCTCCCGGCGGATCAGGGAACGTTTAACAACGAAATAAAAACAAGCGGAAACGTGGTCTGTTACTTTCAGAATAAATAATCGAGCGTCGCTCGTACATGAAAGAAGTCTCTGTCTTTTCAGGCTGTAAAGTGCGCCACGGTCGAAGAGCACCTGGCCCTCTTCTATCGCGTTGTTGAAAGGAGGAATCATCAAAGGACAGAGATTTCAAGAACAATGGGAATTCCGTCATGCAAAATTCAGCGAGAAATTCATTTCTCGAAATCGTCAATTTCTAATTTTTTCCGACTCACAGACTAACGAAGCGAACGTTTCGTCCCTGGCTACTTTAATTCGCGGTTTAAACAATTGTTAAATTCATCGATCTTCCTATATCGAGTTTCTAAGGATTACGAATCGGCGGAATAAAATCCGCGAAATAATCGATTCGGTTGCGAAACAGAAAGCGCATGCCTACGTATTAAATTTATCTCCGAGCGTTCTCCGAGCGTTCACCGCGATCTTGAATCGTTTCGTTCGAAACAGCAAAGTGGTATCCTTTCAAGATACTTAAATAAGCCGTGTTGCGTTGACAACGGCGTTGAATGAGATAAAGAGGTGCGAGTACGCTCGCACGTCCAAGCCGAGGGGAACATTTGGCGGGGAAGAGATGTGTCGGGGATGAATGTGCAATAATAAAGCCGGCGAGGCATAAATAAACTCACCTTTCGAAGTTTCTCCAATTCATTCGCATCTGCAGCCGGCTGTGCCGCCTGTCAAGAATAGAAAGTATCGAATTATTTGACGGCCGCTGCTTCATATGTAACGCATTAAATGAGCATTTTCAAACGAGAGTAACGCGAAGTAACGCCGCAGTTTGTGTCCGCGGTATCTTTGCCCGCGAGCGCGTCGCGTCTTTCGACATTTAACCGGCACAATGGCAGGTATGCCGTGGCCGGCGTTACCCGGCAGAAACTCCATTTATTGTATTTAAATCGGAGTTGCAAAACTCAGGGACGCGAGCGCGCCCGCGCGCGCCGTCTAACGCTCGAGGGGATTTTATTGCTGCGCTTTGCCTCCAATTTCGTAATTAGTCGTAAAGCAGAAATTCGCACACGCGTTCGTCGCGGCTGTCGATCTCCCCGGTAGCGTCGTAATTCAAGCGCGCTAGTAAGATTAGCGATTCCGCGGAATAATTTCACATCCTTATGGGAAATTCATCCGCGTGGATCAATTTCCCATTGCGAGATTGCGCGCGGATTTTTGAGTTCAATTCGGAGGAAATTTTAATTGGAGAACGCGACTCGAAAAAAAAATTCATATCAAAAAGAATCCGGTTTTCAATTGGGCAACAAAGAGAGAGAGAGAGAGAGAGAGGAAGAAAGAAGGAAGTATTAATTAAGAAGAAGAGATAATACTCGTGCATCTACCTACTGCACAACTAGTCGGGTACCGGGTACCCGTACGTACGGCCGACTTACTTTTCCGTTTGCGAGGATTAATTTTAGTTTAGTTAACGTACCGTCCTACGAATACTTTATTAATACTAATAAGTAACGGTTTACCTTTGTTATTCCTTCCGTTATTAATTAATTATTATTAATTAATTAATAATTAATAAAACGTAAAGACGTAACCTACCAACAACTCTTCGTTGGTGGTAGTATAAACGTTTCTTGTATCCTTCGTATATATATATATATATATAATAAAACAGGATACCGCAACATCTTCGGTGTGGATGATATTTCACGTGTGTAGTTACCGTTACCGCGGATATTAAGAGAGTACCACGTTGTGAAAGAAAGACTGCAAAACAGTACAAAAGGCATTCACCTCCTTCGGCTTCGTTTGCTCCCAGAGAGCGGCGGCGGCTCGCGCCGCGTCGTCGTCGCCATCGCCGTCGCCGCCGCCGCCACCGCCGCCGCCGACGACGACGTTCGCCGGCTTGCCATCCGCGAAATTCACGAGCGAGAGGAAATTGTTGTTCCGGGCGTTGTTGTTGCGGTCCTCCTCGTTCTCCACGGCGTTGTCGAGCAGCTCGTAATCCAGGGACTTGCAGTCACGGCCGCTGCTGATGAAGTTCCGCGCGAACGCGCTCTTGAAGAAACGACCGGGCGAGACCTCGCTGCCAAGAGCGAACTCCACCTTCGGAGTCTCGGTCGTCATCGTGCTACTTACGCGAGGAATAGGAGGAAACCTACGATCGAGGGTACTACCGCGAGAGCACCGATGACAGATGATGCGAGCGGCGAAACGTCGCTCTACGCGCGAACATCCGCGTCGCGAATCATCGCTACGCACAGGCGGCCAGCGTCGAGGGGAGAGGAAACAAAACACAAACACGTTGAATATTCCCTAGCACCCAACGCCGATCGCGCGACCATTAAATCGCCGTCCATCCACCGGTCGATCGCGGGAAAATCGCGAACGAGACGCGAACCGTACGCCGGCGCGTGTTGAACTGAGCGCCAAAGTCCACGCGCAGTCCTTTTCTAGTTTCTCCTGCCTCTGTCTGCTGCGAGCGCATGCGATCCAGTCGCATGACGAGGTCTGAGAGGGTACGCTCTTCTCGGTGTGCCGGGTATTGTTCACAAGAAGAGAGAAAAACTCTAGTCTTCCCTCGCGCACTTATTGGCACGAGGTACAATTGATTCGGGTTGAAAAATGGCCGAGTGGATTGAAAAACGTGGAGCTCAGAGAAATTGTGCGCGCGAAAGAAAAATCAAGACGAAACTTTAAATAAACTGAAATAGTCAAGATTTTTTTCTCGTATCTTGCTCGTATTTTATATAATTGTTAGTTGAAATTTTCATGAATCACTCTAGAAATATATTTAAAACTTCCAAGTTCAATAATACTTCACCTAAAATATAGGCGTAGTGAAAATGACCAGCTGCGGAGGGGTAACAGCTGGGACTAACACCTGGGCCCCACATCGGGAATTTACGAACGATTCTCTCTCTAGATAATTTTTCAGGAAACTACAAATAATAATTTCTTGCAACAAAGTCGATATTAATTAGATATTAACGATTATATCGATTCAAAATTTATAAGCAACGGTAATTGTCTTTGTGTTCGTAATAAAATTGTTAATCTCATGCGGGATTTTTATAAATTGTACTTTGATAAAGGATCAAAGTGAATTTGGATAGAAAATGCAAGTTAAATAAAAATAATTTATTATTGTAATTATAAAAATAGTTTATTATTAATATGTATATCTAATTATTAACAAATTTTAACATTAGTTTTAAAAAATTAGAATTAGAACAAATAAACAACGAATAATTATCAATGCTTTTCTCATAGTTCTGTAATGGGTATATTTGAATCACTGGATTGATGATTAATGCTTAAGGTCTCCTTCGTCAAATTTACATCTGAAATGCAAACGGGCGATCGAAAATCTAAAGAAATCCTCTTGGATTTTTTCAAAATAATAGGGGACAGTTCAGGCGGTTCCTCATAATGTTGAAGTTTCTCCAGTCGTTTCTGAATCGAGAGATTAGCTGCAGGATAATTCGAACTGTCGACCACTCCTAATTTTGGTATCGCCAGAGGCGACGTATAGTCGACTAATTTTTTGTCGGCGTTTGACATCGAATTATATATTTTAATCGGAGTACTTTTACTCGCCACAAAGCGTGTAGGCGTAGACTTCTTTTGTAATTCCACATTAAGCTCGAAAGTGCAGCTTTCAACGTACTTAATTGGATCCTTAAAAATCAGATTTAAAATATTTAAATTAATAATTAAAATTTGGAATTATTATAACTTATAAAATATAATTAATAGGAATATTAAAAAAAAAAAATAGTATGAAAAATAGTTTAGAAAATAATCAGTTTTGAATTTATAAAAATTAAAATTAAAAGACAAAAATATAATTGTAAGAAATAATAAATTATACAAGATATATGGAAAAAAAACGAAAAAGGAAAAAAAACGTAATATACCGTGATTAGGTTTCGCAGATTTTCAAAGGATTCATATAAATGATTTCGGCGAGGATTCCGCGTAAAAATACTTCTTTCCGTGCAATACGCTGCCGGGACATTCCATGAAGTTGCTCTTCGCCATTCTAAATTGCTGCACGCAACGATAGATCCGACAGTAAGAATCTCTGCGTAGCCATAGCCAGCTATCCCTTGCCAAAACAATATCGAGAGGTACGAGGAATCGTTAGATGCCAAATGCACAGCCTCGAAGTCCTTCATACCCTACAATGTATTCGCGCGAAGCGTCATATTGAAAATCGCGAGAACAGAAAATCAGAGTAACAAAACAATAATTCCGTAAAATTTCGAAATTTAGTGTAAATTTGTAAATTGTAATTTCTAGACGGTTTAATCATAATCTTTCTCTTGCATTTTGCGACTTATCTTTTTTTCATAATATTATTAAATGAAATTAAAAAAATATAGACAGCACTTACGTAAGGGGCGGGACCGACGGAACAGACAAGACCGACCGTGTCGAATTCTCCGTAAGGTGGAGCAAACTCGGAATTGGTTATTTCGCATAGCGGCGTGCACGCTCTAGCGGGATAAGACGCGTCGCGCATCTTTCCCGGTTGAAAAATTGCGGACCGATTTGCGGTGAGTTGCAATTCGGTGCCCCTGTTGATTACAATTACGCTCGTAAAATCCGGCATTACGGATTGCGATTACATCCATGCGGCGGTACGGTTATTTTCTTTTTTTATGGGAATACTACCTCTTTCCGGAAGCCACGACGTTGCAGAGCGAAACGCACGCGCCTTCTTTGAGCGCGTCGACAACCTCCTCGCTGGGCGACCAAACCGAGAGAATAGCGTTTGCATTTTCGTCGCACACGCGAACTTTGAGCAGCTGGGAGACCTGCCTCGGTCCCGGCAAGCTCTCCCGCAATTTGGACTGCATCCTCTGCTTGAACCTTTCCTCCTTCTCGTGCAGCTCTTGCAGTAGTTCATCGCGTCGTTTTTTAGAGATGGATTCCTATTTATTTTACCGTAAGTGGCTTGACAGAAGGAATCCAGGAAAATTCGAATTCACGAATATAATTTGAATTTGAATTTTGTTGGATTTCCTTGGTTTCGACGGTAACGAGTACGTCGACGTCTCGTAAAAAATTTATAAATAAAATAATGTCGAGTCGAGTCGATATATACCTCGGATAAGTTTTCATAATCTTCACTTAATTGAATCGCCATATCGTCGGTTTCGCAAGAAAGTCCTTTTCTTCGAAAGTCCTCCGCGTTAGCGTAGAACGCCTCTATCTTGGACCAACATTGCTGCTCGTATTTGCCTTGCGCTTTCTCCTCGCTTTTAGCGTTTCTGACAACTGTCGCGGGAAATAATAGCATAATTAGGTCTCTTCTTCTCGAGATTCTTCTGAATTGAATACAAACGTGTCTTACTCGAATCCCCGGATGCGGTTTTCTCGTGATATAACATTGGATACACTCTAGCGACGACGACTGTCACTTTGCCGATTAAACCGCCGCTCGGACATACGTTGCGTAACTTGATGGGTATCGGGCCCGAACACGGCGTGTATCCTAATTTCGTGTCCCATCGTGCACGCCTGGTTGAATTCGTGTGCAGTTTTAAATACACGTCAGCCGGCACCTGAGCGGCGAGAAATTAAATAAAAAAGTTGACCGCTTGTCGCCTTCGATTCCGATAAAAATCGAGCCTCCTACCTCGAGCGGATGGAAACCTTGATCGCAATTCAGTAATTCCGCGCCGGACATCGCCAGTTTCGTGCCCTCTTTTACTTTACCAGTCGATATGCTCCTCACCATACCTATATCGATACAGGCATTTATACTGTACCAGCCATCGGTTAATTCTATCCTCCACTTTGGCACTCCTACACGCGGGCTCTTCCCTACCTCCATACTTACGTTATTGTTCTGTAAATTAAAACGCGTCAAGCACACGTGCTAAATTTGGAATTTCGTAATTCAATTGACATGTACTATTATTACTTCTACTACAGACGACACGCATAGAATCATCCTCCTAGACGGCACGTCGTCCTTCTCCAAGATGCGTCTAATTGCCGGTCGCTGAAACCGATCGATTTCTCGATCGTACCGATACTTTAACTGTGCCATTACCCGCGAAGGTGTTAGCATCCTAAAGTATAAAAATAATTGTTCAACAAACCCTCCAAAATCTAGACATCGCTGCCTAGTTCAGAAACAGCAGTTCCCGCCGCTTTCCTAAAATTATGCCGACTTCGCGGTGGCTTAGTCTAAGACTTCGAGATGGTTCGTGCGCGTTATACCTGGGTAATTCGATCTCGCTGAACTTCATTCGGTCCATTGACGCCAGTTTCCACACGATCCACCGGTAATGATTCTCGACCCAGCGCGCGGGAACGAGATTCGGATCTACGCCGGGAGCGGCGAGAAACGCGCGCAGGAACTCCCAGACTCCCGTGTCTCCGTTCTCGTCCAGAATCAGACGCGCGCCGTCCTCCATCTCGATCCCGCCAACATTACCGTAGGCCACGTCGTTCCCGTAAAAGTCGGAGCAACGGAACCTGTAGGACGCGGCGGTCGCGGCGGTAATCTCCAGGACATCCGGCGGTATCCGCCGGTCGACGAGCTCTCGATAGGAACGCGGTAATGGCAATGTGCCGCCGCTGATTTCCCTCAACGACAAACGAGCGTTGAAATTGATCTGTTTGTAACGGTACAGGTGACCCACCGATCGCTTCGATCCGTGCCTCCTCTTTGCGGTAATTATCGCTTCTTGGTCCAGCGCGGCTGCCAGACGATCCTGCAGGATCTTCGTCGACTCGTCGATAAAATCCATCATCACCTGTGTGTCGCCGTACTCTCTTGATTCCACGTTATCATCTTTTATTCTTCCCTCCGGAACTTGTGCCAGTTTTCGCGTCCCCGTATCTGGCTTATCGTCCTCGAGTTCTCCGCGAGATACGGCTTTTCGCACGATATTCTCTCGCGACGTTACATCCTCTTTGTCCAGAATCCGTTTGTCCGCTCGTGCTTCCCTCCTTTGATGTCCCGAACTCTTCCGCTTCCTCGAGACAGGCTGTCTTCCTATAACCGGACTGCCCACCGCATCCGATTCGGTCGATTCTACCGCGTCGCTCTTGGGCGATCCCAGGACGGAGTCTGCGACGAAAGGTACCGGCTCTTTCTCATCCGGACCTCGAGCCTCGTCGACGCACGGATTATCAGCGAACAGTCTCCTAGCGTGAAACTCATCGCTGAGACGAACCTTTTTCATTTCGGACAAGCGGTTCCTGCCCTGGGGTGTGCTCTCGTCTGCATTAGTCTCGCTTAGCTCGCGCTTCTGCAGCGATGCGCGCGCCAAGCCAGGATTACTCTCATCCGGACAGTCGTCGGTGAGTAATTCTCGTGCTATTAATGCGGCATTGCTCGAAACCGGTACCTGTCGACCGCTCGCAGTTTGCAGTCCACCGTACGGAATTACCAAGTCACGTTTTTGTATCCCTTCGTCGCGGCCAGTGCTCTCGGGAATGTCCATTTCTAAAGGACCATCTAATAGATCTGCAAGTAACGCTTTCGTTCTGGATAACGCTTGTTTCGATACACCGATAGACGTTCCGCGAGCCGTTTGAAATCCAATACTTGGAACTTTGGCTTCTCGTCCATTTTCCACTTTATCGTCGACGCTAGCTCTGTTCGCGGCTGATGCCAGCGAAGTGTCCAATTGTTCAAACGATTCTTTTACTTTCGATATCTGTTCGGAGATCTCAGAGCTACTAATACATTGCAATTTCATATTTGACACTTTTGTTTCTGAACTCTTTATTTTATTATCGACTTCTTTCACAACAGGTGCTTTATCATCTAATTTCGCAAACAATGTTTTTGCTTTGGATAAAGCCTGTTCTGAGATATTGATAGATTTACCACCAGCAGTTTGAAATCTAATACGTGGAGAAATTTTTGCTTCTTGTCGATTTTCCTCTTTATCGTTGACATTAGCTCTGTTCACAACTGATTCTAGTGAAGTATTCAATTGTTCAAACGATTCTTTTACTTTCGATATTTGTTCAGAAATATCAGTGCTACTAATAGATTGCAATCTTATATTCGATATTTTTGTTTCTGAACCCATCATTTTATTATCGATTTCTTTTGTAACTGGTGCTTTATATGTATCATCTAATTTCGCAAACAATGCTTTTGCTTTAGATAAAGCCTGTTCTGAAATATTGATGGGTTTATTGCAAGCAGTTTGGAATCCAATCTTCGAAACATTTACTTCCTGCCTCTTTATTTCATTATCACTGTTGTACATTTCTTTTCTAAGGGTTGATTCTAATGAATCATTTCGTTCTGCAAACAATGTTTTTGATTTAGGTAACGGTTCAAAATTGATAGATTGTCTAATATTCGAAATATTTATGTCACATTGTTCATTATCGGTTTTATTAGAAGTGGATTCAATGGCAGCATTTAATTGTTCTGCGAATAAAGTTTTGGATTTTCCTGAAGTAGCGATAGGTCTAATATTAGTCGCAGGAAAAGATGGTACAGCTACATTTTTTATCGTCATAGAATTGTTATCCGATCTCTCATAGAATTTTTTAAATACATCATCATCGACATTGTCTGATTCATCCGCTAATAATGTTTTCGCTTTTAACAATGCTTCTTTGGAGATATTAATCGGATTGCCGCTAGCAGTTGAAAGGAAAACAGGGACTTTACTGGCTTCTTCGCTAAAAGTTTCATTTGTAAATAATTTTTTGCAATCTGTAACATCGTAATTTTTTGGTTGCTCTCTAGATGGCTTTGGTTTGGATAAAGCTTCTTCCCTAGTGTTGCTGGAAATATTGACGAATGAAGAGGATGGTAAATGCCTATTTATTTGTTTATTCCTTTTAGCGAATGGTTCATAATTTCGCGTTTGTATTTCATCTGTATCAAAAGCTTCTGCGAACAATCTCTTTGCTTTAAATAATGCTTGCTTAGAAACATTGATTGAAGCACCATGACCGGTAAAAAAACCTATACTTTTATTCTCCTCGACATTTATTCCTTTATCCATACCCTCGATATTCCATTTATAGTTACAACTTGTGACAAAAGTTTCTGTCGCTCTTCGATCATCAAAAGCATCGAAGCATAACTCGTCTATCTTACTAAAGGAGACATCATTAAAGAATTCTTGGGTTGATGTATTTGAGCTGTCAGGTACTGGGTTAAAATTTTCTGAATTCTCATTATTACATGTGTCTTGGCCTTTATTGGGAACTTGCAGCTTATGATCTTTGAAAACATTCTCAACGGATGGATCAGATTTCGCAACATGTGCAATATCATCTCGCGATGCAAAATTAGTATTGTTAGAAATAGCAGGTGTTTCTACTTCTACAGTAATATCCTCATTGTTAGTCACAGCCGATGAGTCTATAGATATAGAAGATCTAAATATACGACGCTTGGAGCGTCTCCGTGTCGCTCTAGCAATAACAGGGGAATCAGAAATAATTTTGTCCAAAACGTCAGGTGTGTGCTGTTCGAGCTTTGGTGTTTCCTCTGTCTGAAATATCAATGACAACAGGAGCCCTTTATAATTCAACGATGAACTACAAAATATAACTAAATAACAAAGTGCATAAGAAAATATAATTTACTTTTCCTGTTGATTTGATTCTCAATTTCACTTGAGGCTCAGCTTGCGGTGTCTCTAAATCACTAGACCACTGGTCATTTTTATTTATAAAAGGCAACAGACTCAATGGTGTAGACGGAATTACGGCATCGGTTGGCATTCTATCATTAACAATTTTCAAAAATTAAAGCAACTTGTTTATCAGAAGCATCACTAATGCACAAAATGATTCAGTGACAACTTATTCAACAGAAATTTGTGTAATCATTGCTACGCTAATCTCTGCCATAATGAAACTTTAAAGTAACAAAACAAAAACGTATCTTACGTGTTAAAACTGTCAAGCAGCGACAAAGGTGTCTCGGACCGACTAAAACCGAGGTATCCCGGGAGACATCCGGCCTAATCTCTCTCTTTTGCTACGTCATCTAAAATTCATTGCGTGTAAGAAAAGGAATGCCGTCATTGCCGTAATTCGCGAATAGGAAATTATTACCTGAGAACAACTCGTCAGACTCCTCCTCGGCGCTGTCGATCGTCGATGGTTCCATGATCGCACCACGTTCGGCTCTCATCGCGTCACTCATAGTCGCACTTTATTTACTATAATAATCTCGAATCATCTCGATCTCTGCACGATCGTCTCCGAAAGAAGCTGCAACTGTCCTCTCGAATGTCGTCACTCGGAACGCGAGAACAGCCGGCGAAACAAGATGAATTCGCAAGCTGGATCCCCTTCGATCTTTCCCGGCTCGACAACACACAGACGCGATCCTCCGATTATCGCGTGGCGAGTACCTGCCTTTGTTTTGAATTTCCCTCATGTAACACGCGAACCTTTGAGCTGCGTTCCGATATTCACTGCCAGTACTGAAAATATATAGTTCAGGTCACGTACATTATAGATTTTCTAGTACTTGCGAGTGAATATCGGAACGCAACTTTCATATTGCACAAGACGAGAAAAACACGCGGTCAGGTGACGATCCTGAGCGCTACACGCGGCAATGAGAGTAAGTAGCTGGGCGTCATGAATGGCAACCGGAATACCATCTGGTAGTGTGTTGATTAAGTAGAGAAGTACGAACTTTCGAGAGTAGTGTGCGATTTGGAGTTAATCGATGCGTGTTAATTTGATATTTGTAAAAAGCGTTTGTAGCCTAATTGGAAATTTAGCTGGAATTGCTAAATTTATCGCGGAAATTAAGCGTTCCGTGATTTTGCACTTAAACGATAGAATAAGGTATGTTAGATGTTAATTTATTCGCCTTAGAGGTTACAAAGTGTGTCGCGCGTAAATAATTCATTAATATTTATTTTTATTATCGTTCATTAATCTCTATTTTTTTATTAATTCTTAAAAATAAAAAGAGATGGGAAATATTTTAAATGAAAATTAAAGTTGATATAAATTAGTAAAAATAGACATGAAAATCGGATTATTCTCTTGGTTTATTTCATAAACAAAATAAATCACTAATTATTATTAAGACGAGATGCAAGTTGCTTGTCGAAGAGAACATTGCGAAAAGAGTATTAATATTTCAGCAGTTATGAAAATGGAGCAGCTGGAGACAGCGCTGACTGCTATCAAGGTGCTTCGTTCTAACGTTGGACAAGTGTTTGACTCTCTTGGAAATGGTTTACGGGCAGAACATGGGGAAGAAAACAAAGAATCAAAATATTTATTTGAATTACAGGAACTATTGACCACTGTGAACTTAAATTTAAGGTAATATTTGAGATCAAATCAATGGATTTTGGCTCTATGAAAATTTACTATGAAATATGAATTAATTTTTAACACCCTGAATATTACAGGGACGTAGAACAGGCGATAAATAGCTTAAATCCCCCACCTGGTCCATTTAATTTAGCCAGCACAACCTATCTTAATCAGGAAACGACGCAAGAAAGACAAGCACTTTATAGCACTCTTGTTAATAGTTACAAATGGACAGATAAGCTTCATGAATACAGTAATGTTGCAGGCACATTGCTCAATCAAAATTCTCTAAAGAGATCTTATTATGGTACAAGTAGAGCAAAGAAGGGAAAACAAATAACCAGCAGTCATAATGTTCCTCAGGCGTAAGTTGCTTCTGATTAGTTGAATAATGATGATAGTAAAAATAATTATTTCAAAGCATAGATTTTAATCGGTTTTAATGTACATAGGCAAGTCGATTCCATAATAGCGTCATGTGACCGATTGTTCAATGACATGACGATATCCGTGTCTCGTCCATTTGCGTCAAACGCGATGTTACACGTTACACTGGGACAGGTTCTAAAAGCGGTGATAGCATTCAGAGGATTGATGATAGAACGGGTAGTAGTCAAGGGCTATAGCGAGACGATGGATCTGTGGACGGAATCTAGATATAAAGTCTTTCGCAAAGTAACAGAAAACGCGCATGCCGCAATGCTGCACTTCTTTTCACCCACGTTACCCGAATTAGCAGTGCGATCATTCATGGTAATTTCAGTAGTTTATTAATAATTATGTATCTGTACAAAGTAAATATTATTCTTACACTATTACTTATAATATTACCATTTGTTACCTAAGATTTAATAGGCGCGCGATATATCACGATCTTTCTCTTTATTTTTAGACATGGTTTCATAGTTTAATCAATTTGTTTAGCGAACCGTGCAAACGCTGCGGCTTGTATTTGCACAGTGCGCTCCCTCCAACTTGGAGAGACTTCCGAACTTTGGATGCTTATCATCAGGAATGCAAGCCATAAGATGCAAGCTTTTCAAAACTATATGTCTTGCATTTTACAAAAATTAAATAATCTATTCTTGCAGATATTTTATTTATAATGTACAGTGATAAAATTTAGTGTCATTTGACATATTTTTTCTGAAGACATTTGTCGAGATTTGAAGGGTTGTATATATTAAAACCATAAAAGTGTGAAAATAAAATACTTTTATCTACTGCAATACACACTAAGTGATTTTGCGATGACATAACGACACACGCGCTCTTCTCTTTTTTGGAAAGGGGAGGGAGAAGAAGGGGAGGTTTGTTGAGGAATGGTGACGAGGCAAGTAAAACATTTTCACAGAGAATGTAAGGGCTTTTATAAAAAGAATTCGATTACATAACACTTAACAAATGCAAATCGCACAGAACATCGCGCGTTCTATGAGAGAAAAATTGCAAAGTATCAGAGAGCACATTAATCTGAAACAACATACGTCATATCACGCGGCGCCGCCGGTCGTGCTCGCGGTAGAAAGCTGATTAAAATGCACGATTAAATTCTTGTCCGATACGTTAATAGTGACGCTTTTGAATTTCAACGAATTTATAATCACACATAAAAATAAATGCCCCTTTTTTCCCCACTGCGAAAGCGATAGCAAAAGGAAAGTATAATCGAACTTGATTATCGTTCAGCGAAAAAAACTTATGTTAGGCTAATTTTTTAATATCGTAATATACAAATGAGCGGGCATAAACGTTTTTTTTTTTATTTTTTCCTTGAAGTAGCTCTGCGATTCAATGTGTTTTCTTTTTATTCCTTGTTACCTATACCCTACGTATGTATACCACTCTTAGTATCGTTATATGCTATTTAGTTTTACATAATGCTAATTAGTATATCATATATGTAAATATAATTACGTTATTATAATATACTTTTCACATAACTGTACACATTCACATCTTTGGAATATTGTCGCTCTTCCTAAGGGGCGCAAGTCGTTTGAGTGGCAGTGAACTTATTTTACAAATCGTTATTGTAATCGC